CAACTTTCTCAGCACATAATCAAGATTGGGAACAACATGAAGGTCGTTGTCCAATGAGTCTTGTTAGTATACATGAACTTGATGAACGATGGCCACAAGATGATCAAGACTGTTTAGAATATTTTCATCGTTACCGAACATTATGTCAACTTTATGAAGTATTTAAAATAATTGGTGAAGATAAATTAGATAAACTTAATAATACTTTTGGTATTATTGATGGATCTGGTTATACAATTGAAGAAATCAAAGATTATGAAAATCGAATATTAATTAATTATTCATCTAAAACTGATGAGTGAATTTCGTAAATTAAATTTTATTATCAAATTGTTATTTTAATACAAAAAGAAGTTTTGTTTTTTATTGTTTAATAAAAAAAATATATTTGTATATTTCATTTTCTAAATAATATTTATTTTTTGTAAGAAAGATCAATGAAATTAAATTGAAAAATGGAAGAAATAAAATTAGAAGTTATTATGAATAAGAAATATCCTTCAGTGAAAAATTATATGAATTAAGTATGACAGTTGTCGTCTTATTTTCATCATTTAAATTCTCATTTGCCAAAAGTCACGATTATAATAAAGATTATATTCAATTATAATACACTGAAAATCTGCCTAAAAATTATGCCTGTTCTTTTTTCATTTATTTTTCAATTTTTCGTTTACAGAAAATCTATTGTTACTTTTGTGTGGATGTGGATAAAGAAAAGATTTATACCTATACTCTCATGTCATTGTACAGGGTGGTCCCAGAGTAACCCAGAAGTCTTTGATTGCAAATAACTTTTGATAAGAACAAGATAGAGAGCTGTAGTTTTCATCGTTTGAAAGAGGAGATGAAGACGCATCGAACTGTATGAAATAAGATAATTTGATTTAGTTTTTTCAAGGACTTAAATCGACGTTTTTGAAAATCAACGTACTTCGTAAGGTGACTACACTGAATCTTTTTATGATCAGATGTGCATTCGAACTGCTACTCAAAAATCTATAAAACTGTGCAAAGACCAGAATTCTGAAAGTTACTCCTTCAGAAGTTATAGATATTCTACTCGAAATTCTGAACTGATTTTTCTGTTAATTTTTGTGAAAAAAAATCACTTTTTTTTGCGTTTTTTTTATTTTATAAGAAACCATTTTTCCGGCAATTTTTTTTAGAAAATTGATTAAGAAAACTCTAGAAAACATTTTAGAAAAACCTATAATATACAATTCGATGCGTCTTCATCTCCTCTTTCGAACGGTAAAAATCACAGCTCTCTATCTTATTCTTATCAAAATTTATTCGTAGTCAAAGACTGTCCAGTTACTTTTGAATTGCCCTACAGATCTCAAAAGTGTGTCTCTAAGATGCGCAAGATTTGATTGCTTCTGAAAAATACTTGTTTTTTTTCTGTAGATCTAACTCTAAAAAAAAATTTTACTGATTGCTCTAGATATCATTATTTATCCAGGTAATTCCAAAGATTATTCATAAAACTTTCGAGAATCAAAACTATATTTATAAACTCATACACTAGGCAACATGTTCATATATTTATCTCAAAAAATCATTTTTTGACGAAAATCGAGTTTTCTGAAAAGAAGTCTTAAGTTAAGTGTGTTAATCTGTGATAAGACTATCGAAATATCCGACTTCGAACTATAGTCAAACAAATTTAAAAATTTCTACTATATAAATATAGTAGTGATAAAAACCCAATGAAAAATGTTGGTTTATTCTGTTCTTCCAAAAAAAAAGCAAAAGAGTCAACTAAATAAATAAGAAGGAAAAGAATATTAATCAATATATGAAAAATATCACGAACATAAGTTAACTAAAATAAAATAAATAAGATTTTTTAATCTCGCCGGCAAAGAAAATAATTAATTGTTGTAGACGTACAACTGTTGAGGGATTATTTATATAAAAAGGTTTATTGTTATTAATATCGAAATAATACTTGTGCAATATTTTACTTATTAAATGCTGAAAATAAATATGATTATTATTCTAAAACAAAAGAAGAAAAAAGATAGTTTTCATGATTAGTGACTAATTTTTGCAGTAATATATATATACCGGGTGTGCCAGAAGTTTTGGGACATTTAGTATTTTTCAAATATCTCAACAGAAATCAATCGTGTAATCTTGATTCTTTTTTTAAAAAGTGCATCATGAAAAGCTCTACAAAAATTATAAGAACAAATCCCTATTGACTTGCTCTGATGGTGTCTCCGATATTCAAAATGAATAGGTCAGATGATGGTCCTATATCCCACGGTATTAAGTATTTCGAAGACATTTTTGTTTTGCAATAGAAACTTGCTCATACAGGTTTGGTAGAGCGTTCAGTGGCGCATCTTTGAAAAAAAAAAGATCAAGACGTTATCATTTTCCCAAGCTGAGATATTTACAAAATAAAAAAGAAGTTTTCCAAATATTTTTGTTATACTAATTACGGTGGAACATAACATCGTCATGTGACCTGTTCTTTTTGAGTATCGGAGACATTATCTGAGGAAGTCAATAGGGATTTGTTCTTACAGTTTTGTAGAGTTTTTCATGATACATCTTTTAAAAAAAGAATCAAAATTATACGATTGATCTCTGCTGAGATATTTGAAAAATACTAAATGTCGCAAAACTTCTCGTATACCCAGTATATAAATACTCCTTTCAAGCCTGTCATCTTTCATCATACCTAATCGTACTGAAATGTCAACAATCAAAATATCGCCTTAGGTCATTTTTTTTATCGGCGAATAAACTAAATGAAATCATGTTTTGATACGTTTGTGACAGTCATAAGATTAATGTAACCGCAATCAAATCGAACCAATAAGGCTAAACAATAGTATTATTCATTAATAAAGAGAAACTCAATGTACATAGAATTAACACTATATATCTATATATCAGAAAATGAAGATATTAAAATTATTGAATTGTATAAATCGATTAAACAAATTTTAAAAGTTATTCGTAATGAAACTTAACATAAAAATAATGAATTTAATTCTATTAAATAAATTGAAATTGAAAATTATCTCAAAAAAAAATAATTTATACAATATACTTTTCTATTGAATTGAGATGTGGTTTTATACAAAGAAGATTTTTCTTTTTTTTTTTTTGATTCTGATAATTATGATTTGTGTATGCGGTCTTGAAACTAAACAATATCGATCGTGATCTATCCATGACAGCTTGTCGACATTTAGCTATCACGCTCTATTCCATCTTTCCTTTTCTATTACGTAGTTATCTCGCCTACTGTATATATATATCTTTTACAATATTATTCATGAAATCTATGGAAAGAAAAGAGAAGAAACGTCTAATACATATAGAGTACGGGTTATTTTATATGTGTAATATATTAGACCCACTAAAACAACTTCAACTCTATAATAACAAGTTATTTATCTTCAAAATAAATCCTCTCATATATGAAGTATGCTTGATTAACAAGATGTATAATATAATTATTGAATCTGTATTCAACATATTTTATCAATATGAAAATTGATTGTATTTTGATTAGATCTAATACTTTTAAATTTTAAGACAAGAAAAAAGAAAACAATCAATTATTTCGAATTCATAGATTCATTTTAGTCGCTTAGTTCAAAGCAGAGAAAAAAAACAAGAGAAGAAGATAAACGAGCTCGTACTAAACATTGTACGAAGATATTGTTGATGTTCCTATATTTATATTCTTTTCTTTATCGTTCTTGTTCTAACAACGACAAATATCTTTTCTTGTCTTATTTGGTTTGCCCTGTTCTTCTTCTTTTTTTGTTCTGAGAATATCTTCATTCCAACATATATATATATATATTCAGCACAAGGAGAAGTCGAAGTCAGCAGGAAAGAGATAAAACAGCAGCTGAAACAAATAATCATAGTATTCTACTATTGCTGTAGCATCTCATCTTCTCAATTTTTTCTCCTTATTCTTGCTTTTTCTCTCTCGATTTCTCTCATTCTATCATCTGCATCATTTTTATGAGATCGGCAAAAACAGAACAGTTGACCCATGTTGTGAATACTGTTAACATTGATATATATATTTGAACTTATATATCATAAGGCAAAGATCTTCTGTTTTGCCATCAGTTAAATGTCAATAGATGTTGTTGACACACACACAACAAATTATTAGTAAGATATCGCAATATTCTATATGTATTCTAAATATTGATGTTTTTCTACTAGCAAATGACATCATTGACTTTCGTTATTGTTGATCAACATCTAATAACTCATTCCTAATATCTAGTATTTGGAGTGAGGAAACACAACAGAAAAAAAGAAGAAGACACATATGTCAATACATATTCTCAATTTGTCTATGATTGATTATAATTATTTGTTTTTGTCGTTGTTTTTTTTTTTTGTAAAATATGAATAGAAGAAATACATTATATTTATTCTTCAGATATATATTCATATACTTCTTATATACACAAACAATGCCTGCCGACGAGAATGAGGTAAAAAAATGATTTACAAAAAAATTTTTTTTTTCTATTCTTTTGATAATATATCAGGAAAAAAGGAAATGATTAACATAAAATAATTTCATACGAAATAAAATTTTTTATTAAATATTATAAAATCTATTGAAAAATTTTCAACTATCTAAATGAAAAATATTTTATAAGTTGTTTTATATATCATGAACTCAATGTCTCTTTATTTACCCAGACAAACGATGTGATCAATAAGAAGAGAGCATCTGCTCTCGTACAACTTCAATGTTGTCTCGTGTTTTATGTGTGACAAACATACACTTCCGCTATCTCATTTCACAATGACAATACCATTGTTCTGCACAACACAAACATATCACGGAAGAGAAAAGGGTCGAGTGATATGTTTACTTAGAACAAAAAAAAAAAAGAGAAAAGTGAGAGAATATCTCAAGAGACACTTTTTTTTTGATTATATACAGTGGAGTCATTTAATATCATACGTTCATTTTCTCTTAATATTAATTCACTATGCCATCTTTAACTGTACCTATCATTAATAATATTAAAATGAAAAATTCCGGTAGACGAATTGTAAAACATAATACACCTACTTCTTCATCAACAGGAAAAATAGAAGCAGAATTAAAGGTAAAAATAATTGAACATCTTATTCTGTTTGTCGCGAAACGATATATAAATATTTCATTCTTTCATAGGGAAAAATTCTATCGAAATAATTTGTTAATCAAATAGTCTATATAGACAACTTGAATAAAAATAATTCAATTATTTTAGCTATTCAATATCATCAATTTAATAGAATAATCATAATAAGAAATGACAGGAGAGAAAACTTTTTTTTTCTTCTTATTGCTCATTTATTTTATCGAATATCTTTGTATGAATATAAACGAAAAAAAAAAGATCTTCATTTTTATTGTTTCTTGTTTTTTTTTATTGATATATATGCTAACGTATTAATAACAAATCTTTATAGCTGGTTTTATTAGACATTTTTTTTTTCGTATCTGTAACATTTAAGTATGATTATTATAAACACTTTTTCTAAGATTTCTTTTACTTAGGTTAATCGACAATTGATGAAAGGGTGTGTACAACAGGAGGTCTATTGTTATTTTATGTAAACTTTTGTATATATGAGAAAAAGAAATCATTTTCTGTTCATTTAAATGTTTTTTTCTTTTGACAAAGCCGCTGTCCTTTTCATTATCATCTTCCTCCTTTTTTTTTACGATTGACTATTTTTTTTTCTCTTATGAATGTATGCTTGACCCTACTACATCACATTATGAGGGCATCAAGAAAGAAATGAGAAAGAAAAAAGGAAGAAGGACAGAATACAAAAAAAAAAAAAAGAAAGAAAGAAACCGGTGCTTCTGTTGTTGTTCAACGTTTGGTAGATAGGAACTATTATTTCTTTGGCTTTTATAATGTTCAATAGTATGCCTGGTATGAATATAGTTAGTCGAACAGAAAAAAAGAGAGAGTAAATGAGAAGAATAAGTTATGTAAGAATAAAGAGCAAAAAAAAGAAGAAGAGGAAAATCGAATAGGACCTATGCCAGTCTGATAAATATTCTTCATGATAAATACTTCTGAACCAAACGGGACACTATTTAATATTCTTCATTTGTCTGTATTGTATTGATGATCATGGTTGAACTCGTCAATCTGTATCCCTCAAGCTTTATCGTTCTTCTTCTTTTTTTTTTCTTTCTACTTTCCTTGTTTTAACATTGAATTAGTAGCAGAGTAAGACTTTTTATACATCATCAACTCGAGACAGAACGTTTTTCTTTTTCTCAACGCATATAAGTGTAATAAGCAGTCTCTCTCTCTCTCCCTCTTTTCACGATGATTCACACTAAGTTGAACAGCGTCTTCGAAGCTCACGCATGCCTCATGACAGATTAGCATACCACATACACTTAGGACACGCATCTATGAAAGCTTGTGAATAAAGAAAAAAAATGAACGTCAAAGATTAATATAAGAAAAGAAAGTAAGTAGAAAAAAAAACAGCAAAGATTTTGACTTAAAAAATGAATATAAATCTTGTAGTTTGTTTTACATAAAAATTTTTATATTAAATAATTATTTTTATTATATAATAATTTTAATATTTAAATTCTAAAAAGAAAAAAACTTCTAATTTTATTTAGATGCCATTCAAAGTTCGCATCTCAAAATTTCGTCATGTATTTGGTTCACCATATCGTGAACAAGATTGTTATAAAAATATAGCTATAACACGTAATGCACATGATGGAAATTTTTGTGCTGTTAATTCAAAATTTTTAGCAATTGTTACTGAAACAAGTGGTGGTGGTAGTTTTCTTGTTTTACTGCTATCTGAAGTTTGTCAATTTTTTCTTCTATTTAACTTCTTCTTTATCAAATAAATGTTTGATTTAGGTTGGTCGTGTCGATGTTGATCATCCACGTATAACTGGTCATCGTGGTCCAGTAGTTGATCTTAAATTTAATCCATTTAATGATAATGAAATAGCTTCATGTTCAGATGATGGAACAGTTAAAGTATGGTATATACCAAATGATGGTTTAAAATCTGATACATATCAATGGAAAGTTGATTTACATGGACATCAAAGACGTGTTGATTATATTGAATGGCATCCAACAGTACAAAATCTTATATTAAGTGCTGGACTTGATCGTCAAGTTGTTTTATGGAATGTTGAAAAAGCTGAACCAATACAAGTTTATCGATGCCATTCAGATGCTATACAATCAATAGCATGGAATAGAAATGGTTCATTATTTGCAACAACATGTAAAGATAAACAGATACGTGTTATTGAACCACGTACTGGTCGAATTATTGCAGTAAAATGAAGTTTATTTTCTCAAAAAAAAAAATTCTATTGTTTTTTTTTCTATTCATAGAAAGGAATAGGTCATCCAGGTCCAAAAACATCAAAACTTGTTTTTTTAGGCGATACAAATCGTCTTTTATCAACAGGTTTTGGAAAACAATTTGAACGACAAATAGCTATTTGGAATCTTGTATAAAATTGATTAACTAATCTTTTTTTTTTTCTTTTTTTTTAAATAATAAATATTTTATTTAGAATGATTTATCACAACCATTAACAGTTGAAACAGTCGATTTTAGTGCCGGTGCTCTTATTCCATATTATGATCATGATACACGTACAGTTTATTTAGCTGGAAAAGTAAGAAAGAAAAAACGAAACAGCATTTTTTTTTTTAATCATTCAATATATAAATTATTTTAGGGTGATGGAAATATTCGTTATTATGAAGTGAGTGATCAAGGCGAACCATATTTATATTTTCTTTCTGAATATAAATCTTCTACACCACAACGTTGTCTTGGTAAAATTAATTCAAACAAACAATGATTTATTTTATGCAAGAAAAAAAAATTTTTTTTGCTAGGTGTAATGCCAAAAATTGGACTTGATGTAACACGTAATGAAATAACGCGTTTTTATAAATTATATGCTACTGGATCTGTATGTGAACCTATTTCTATGATTGGTTTGTATTTCTTTTTTTGTGTTGTTTAAATTTCTTATTTCTTTGTTTTTTTTAATTTAAGTCCCACGTAAAGCTGAAGCATTTCAATTAGATATTTATCCAGATACACCAGGTCCATATCCAGCATTATCACCTGAGGAATGGATGTCTGGTATTGATCGTGATCCAATACTTGTATCAATGAAAGATCGTGTTGAAGGTACAAATATGCCAAAAATTACAACATATCGAACACTTGATTCAACAACATCAACACCTATTCTATCTCATCGTGGAACACCACAACGTACAATACAACCACCTGTTGCAGAAGTTGCACCTACACCTAAACAAAATCTTATTGATCAATCACCACCATCACCTGTATCAATTGAAAAATTGACAATAAATTTACAACAACAACAACAACAACAACAATCGAATTCTAAAGGTTTAAGAAAAATAGAATCATTAAAAGTAGCAGCAACAAGTGCAGAATTTAATAATGTTAGGTAAGAATTATATTCTAGGAAAATATATTAGAATAATAAATTGATAGATTAAAAAAAAAACTACCTAATTCATATTAGTAGAAAAGGAGAAAAGAAACCAGCTGTTTTACAACGACGCCAGTTTGCAACTCGGCGTCGTTTAGGACGTACAAGTTCATGTGGCGTTGTATTGGATACCACCAGGTTCGACATTCTTCCTAGCTTTTTATATACCTTATAGATGCATTACCAATTGATTATTTTATCATAGTTTATTTTTTTTTTTGCATCACTATTTTATTCTTTCCAGTGATGAAGTTATTTCTCCTCCACAGCCATCACCACCACCATTGCCACCAGAGCGTAAAATCACTTCACCTCAACCAGTTGTTGTTACATCAACAACTATACCGAGTACATCGTTGAATCGTAATCCTTCCAAAACACTTCGTTCTTCGTTTAAGCCTTTTCCATCAGAAAAAAAAATTATTCATGCACAATCGACACCTGATCTTTCATCATTGATGTCAGAGAATAAAAATGATGATGATACATCATCATCACTTGAAAATCTTTCGAATACATATTCATCAATGAATTTATCTCAACAACGTCCAACTGGTTCAATTCTTAAACGACCACGACCACCACCACCTCCAATACCATCACAAATTCTTGAAGAACCTATTTATGTTTCATCAGTTTCTGTACCATTACAACAAACTGGTCCTCGATCAGTTCAATCAATAATTTATGATCGGAATACAAATACACCAGATAGGTAGTTTGGCAATGTAGCCAAGCATGGAATGAAGTGTACTCTTTTTTTTTCGAATTATTTCCCTTTGTTATTTGCTGTGCAAGTTTTTTCATTTGATTTAAATTTAACTTTTTCATATTTTTTTTCTTCTTTTATTCAGAGATAAATTTCAAAATAAAATTAGTCAACAACAACAACGACCATCTCAATCACCAATACATAATAATAATCAAAATCGACGTAATGTTGAAGTTAAGAAAAAAGTATGGAGTGTTGATACATCAGATCAACAACCACAACAACAGCAAATGTCACATCAGACTAATGCTAACGGACATCATTCATCTGTTCAACAACCAGCAAATGGAATTGATGTAGTAAAAAAAACTTCTATACTTTGAATATATATTAATTTTAATATGTTTTTTTTTTGTTTTTAGTATCGTCAAGCATTTTTAAAACAACAAGAAGAAGTGCAATCATTACGTGAACTTATGTTATTAAAAGATAATCGAATTCGTTTACTTGAAGATGAATTACGTTCATTAAAAAATAAATATGAATATAAAGAGAAGGACCTAAAAAGATGATTCTAACCTTTTTCTTTTAATATCATTTGTTTGTTTGTTTTTTTTTTTCTATCAATATTTTAGTCATTGTTTCTTTTTGCAGTCTATGTTTATGTATGAAGAAAGCTTTTTTTTTTTGTATACTTCTTTTTCTTGAATATATAAATACGCGAATGAAGAAAATGATTTTCATTGTAGTGCAAACTAAATGACAAAAAATTTGAATAGAATTTTAATTTCAAGAATACATCGTGATTAAATATAACAATATTGATATCACTAGAGATAAATATAAAGACATCGAATGATGACAGGAAATATTATTTCGCCATTCGATATCATCATCATCAAATGGACTGTTTGATATTAATGAATAAGGATGTATTGAATCATTTGCATTGTTGACGAACAAATTTATCCAATCTAAATAAGTTGTTATACGTGTATATACACCTGAAAATCCTGGTTGTGCACATCCGTGTCCAAACGATGTTAAACCAACAATAACCCATTGTTTACTTGATGTAAACATCATAAGAGGACCACCAGAATCACCTTGACATGTATCTATAAAAATAAAATATTTTTTGTTTATTTTTTTATTAATGAATTATTCTTTTTTATTGTTTACCTTTTGTACTGTTTTCAACACCAGCACAGAATTGTTTGAATCGATCATAGATCAATGGATAACAAGTGAAATTCTGATAATCAATTGTTTTCAATATAACTTGTTGAAGTGTTGAAGATTCTGGACCTTTTTCCCAGAGTCTACCCCAACCAACTGCAACAAGCTGAAAATTTTAAAAAATCCAAACATATGATTTAATCGTTTATATGATATACTTACTGAAGAATCTACAGGTGGATATTCTTTCAAAGATATATTTGGTAAACATATTTTGGTTAAAATATTATCAGTCATATGAAGAGGTAACGATAGTTTGAGCAAAGCAATATCATTGATAAAATTTGATTGATCAAAATTAGGATGAAAAATAATATCAGTTACTTTTCTTAATTGATTTTTTTCAGATCGATGATTTGAACCAGCATGTACTGTAATATCAGAAGGATGAATGCGAAAGATATTATCTCCTAAATTATTTATTATTGAAAAACAATGTGCTGCTGTTAAAATCCATGAATTTGATATAATCGATCCTGCACATCGAAATCTATTTTGAATATGAAGTGACACAACCCAACTCCATGTTTCAATTCTAGCATATTGTCCACCGACAATTTTTGAATCTAGTCGAGATTTATTTGAACAACCACATGGTGCATTATGATTACATGAATCAATTATCTGATTTTTGAGTTGAAGAATTGTCAGTAATGTAATTAAAAAATAACTAGATGGTAACATTATTGATAACAAAACGAACAGAATGATGATTTCTTCTTTTTTTTTTTTTCTTTAAAGTATATTTGTTCTTTTTTTTTGTTTCATTTGTTGTCTATTCAAGGTCAATGTCACTTTTGTCGATAGTCCTCCTGTTCGTTGAATTAATTTTTAAAGTAATCATTTTATTTTCAAATAATATGATGTGGATTAATGAATTATTTGTGTGTTCAAAATAAATTTAATGTATCTGTATTGTATATTTGTACAAATACATTGAAATTTCATCCTTGTTCGAAAAAATAGTTTTGAATAAGAAAATGATTTACTTTGTATATTGTTACTGGTAAGTTATCGATATATTATTCCGTTTCTTTTTTTGAAAAAATCTTCTATTGATAATATTGAATTAAAAGTTAAATATCATTGTTGAGAAAATTATATAATAATAAAGAAAATAAAATTGTAAGAGAAGATAAATAATTTGTAGGAAAAATATTTAAATTTAGAAATTTTTCAATATGACCTATCACATGAATACATTGACTCTGTAATAACTTTACGAAACGATATTAAAAAAAGAAAGACGTTTTAATAATACTTTCAAAAATAAGACGAGATCAATCTTTTACAACTATAGAAGTATAAGTTTATCTTCATATTATTTTTAAGATAGTTCCAGTTAATAATAGACTTCTGAACTATATATATATATATTCTATAATTTTTTTATGGATGTAACGGGAACGACGAGAATTGACCTAGAAAAACCATTTGTAAATCATTCTATCTTTGAACTTGCTACTTTAATTATAACATGAATTAATTCAAAGACTGATAATACTATTAACAAGATCATTCAAAAAATGATTGCATGGAAAGATAATTTTTATCAGTGATAATTTTTGAATATATACCATTTTAGCTTATTAACAAATGTCAAAAACGTCATCTTCTGAGATGATGACATGTTCTTAAGTTGAATGTTGACCTCTTCATCTTTATATCAAATAAAGAATCTGTATTAATCGTAAAAATTAGAATAGAAAAAAAAACCGTTTAGTCTTATTTTATAGTTCACTTGAATGGAGAAATATAGCATCAGTATTATAAAATTCATCTTTGTTTAGATGACGAAATTAAATCCATTATTAAAAAAGATACAACGTTATATTCAAGATTCATTTTATCATTCATATTTTAATAAATCTACGACGATAATTAACGTTTTTAGTACTTATCTAGTTCAAAACATTATAACAATATGAATTCTTCTCTAGTAGACGTTTATATATGAATGAATCGACAGTCTTTGATCGCAAATAAATTTTCATAGGAACAAAATAGACAGCTGCGGTTTTCACTGTTCGAAAGAGAGGATGAAGACGAATCGAACTGTATAATATAAGATAATTTGACCTAGTCTTTTTCAAATCAACGTACTCCGTAAGGTGATTACACTGTATTTTTTATGATTAGGTATGCATTCGAACCATTAGTCGAAAACCTACAAAACTATGCAAAAACCAAAGTTTTGAGAATTACTCCTTCAGAAGTTGTAGGTAATCTACTTGAAATTTTGAGTCAATTTTTCTATTAATTTTTGTGAAAAAATCACTTTTTTTCTACGTTTTTCTTATTTTGTAAGAAACCATTTATCCGCTCAAATAAGCATTGATGTGCGTATAATCATGTAAATGTTACTGACGTCTGATAAGATTCAAAACTGGTTTGAGAGTCTCGAGTTGAACTTGAATATATCAAAAAAATTTTCAACTTCAATAATCTATATCCTTTAACTGATATCGACCATTACAATATATCTGGTACAGAGAACAACTAGCTGCTTCAATTTTACGTTTAAAATACATTAAATAATTTTGTTATTATTAGATCAATTTGATTATCTACTTAGTATCTTTTTTTTAAACATTTCTGTTCCATGAAAGCTTGTTGGTTTTGCTCTTTCTCTCGTTCTGTAAACTTCGTCTGAGATGGAGTAATCATACGCTTCTGTTGTTATTCTATCTACTGAATAAACATGCAATATCTCATTTGTTTTATGTAGTTTTGAAAGGATTACTGAAGCGATTTGTATTAAAGTATATTGTTTTCAGTCCCATAAGTCGTGTAGAAATAATTGATCAATATGTAACAGAAATTGCGAGGAAAAAAAAAATCTTATCCGTAGTCAACGTCATTGAATGTATTGTATTGCCAATGATATGTTGTTTTTTTCTCCTCTATCAGCAGTTTAATGATTGAAATCGATTATAAAATTTTAATAAAATTCAATTAATGCTTAAATCATTAGACTTAAATACATGATTAACATAAATGTAATGAAGAGATGAAATTTTTTATCTAGCAAAATGTTTATATTTAAGTCTAGCAATCTTTTTTCTCTTTTTTTTTTTACACATTTGAGAAGAATATAACAGTTTAATTAGTTGCTCAACATTCTACATATTATTTTGATAGTTTTCAGTACATGTATTGAAATCTGCAGAACTGATTGTTCTGTGAGTTTGTTGAAAACTAACAAATCTTAATCGAAAATTTTATTTAAGACTTTTTAAGTAATCTCTAAGAATTATTTTTCTAGTTTCTTCTATTTACTGTCAAAAGTCGACTAATAACGCATTCTATCGAGTTATATACAATTTGTACAAGACTCAGTTCATGTTGAAGCTCACAGAGTAGTGACTAGTACCACAAGTTACATTATTGATTCTTTTTTTTTTTTGAAAATAAAGATAACAATGACTCATCTATTTGGAAATATTTCTCAGAAAAAAAAGCAGAAGTAACATGTTGATCTGGCTTGAAGCGAGCAACATAATCATCATAGATCATAGTTTCCGAGATGATACTGGAACAATGAATGGTTTCGATCTTTAAGGAACGATGTTTCAGTTTCTGAGCGAATGAAAAAAATGGAATTTTGATCTTCTAGTACTGACTTAAAAAAAGGTTTTTTAGTTTCATAAGTTAATAGAACCCAATGGCTTGTTGAAACTCGAAATGGTAACACTATTCACTTTTTCAAGGTAGATTGAATTAAACACTGAGTAATTGTTCGACATAGATGGCAAAATAGTATGATGTTGTGTTTCGACGACATTTTCAAAAACAATCATCGGTCTAATTCATCGATTCTCTTCACAAATCATTATGAATAAGAATACTGATGCTGTATAGAGAAACGTGATGTACAATTTGATAAACAAGTGGAACACATTCAAAGTTTATATCGAATGTGAATATCTGAACAACATATGAAATTAGATGTTCATGATTCCAAGTATGACAGAAGAATAACTACAGGATAGAACATTCGTTTAAGTCTGATGCATAGTTACTTCTTTTATTTTTTAATTTTTTACGATTGATTATTGAATTCGTATAGCCAAACCTTATATGACTGAGCATCTTACTCTGTTCTCTTTACTTGTGAACATATCGTTAGTTACTGTTCTCATGTGCCAGTCTCTTCGTGATATCTTTTTCCATATCACAATGATAGATCAGTCTTAAAACAACAGCTGGACAGACATTTCAATTTTCTTCAAGAATCATTAACGAATTCATGCCTCAAACTATGATGTTGAATATCGGTTATAAAGTTGCGGCCAAAAGATGATAAACTGACTATATATATACATATATTACA